GGCGGAGGCAGAGGTGGAGGCGGGGCTGCGATGCCGACGAGCGACGAGGGACGAGTTGCGAGATCGGCCGACGAGCTGGGACGCCGACGAGCTGCAACGACGACGACCTGCGTTCTCGCTCTCGCCTCTATGTTCTCTCTCTCGCCCCTGTTCAACTCAACGAAGAAGAAGAAAGAAAAGGAAGGAAAAAAAAAAAATCAAAACCCAAAACGACGTTGTTTTCGGTTTTGAGCCAAATTCGAGCCCCTAATTTCGGGCCCTCAAACATTATTCATTGTAGAGATCCAAGATTCGTGTCGTAAGTCTTGTCACTTGAACTGAATTTAGATGTGAGAAGAAAAATGAATTACAAACATAAAGTTATACAAATATATATATATATATATATAGAATAATGTGTCAATGACATTCGTAAAATAATGAAAATAATAGTAGATGTTTTGATTAGAAATGAAAGGACTACAAGAAGTCGCCTAATTTTGTATAGAAATTTTGTATGAAAATTATATTTGTATATTATTACTCTATAATTAAATAACGTTTGCTAAACATAAAAATTAAGAACATTATGTGAATGAAACTGAAAGAAATTTATGTTGTGTTTGGAGTATAGATTTGGATAAAGATTTGAATAGGGAAAAGAAATGTATTCGTAATGTAATTATATTTTATTCATATATTATTTTATTTATTTTCTTTTTCTTTTCAAATATTTATTCAAATCCATATTCTAAACACAGTCTTAAGGATTGATGATCATGCTCATCATAGATGAGGAGTGGGTGGGTTGCAAATGAACAGAGCTGAACTCAGCTTTGCAAAACTCAAGTTCAGCTTGTTTGTTTATCGAGCTTGATTATCCAACTCGAGCTCAACTCAATAACTAATCAATCTTGAGCTTAACTTGACTCGTTAATATTAGTCAAGCTCAAGTTCAGCTCGAAACTCGATAATAATTTCTTTTTATTATTTTTACATTTTTTAAAAATTTAAATAAAAATAATATGGGAAGCCCCTTCTCCCAATCTATAATCAATCCTTGTAATTTTTTCAATTCCATCTATTTGATTATATAAATATAGTTGACACACTCGATTTGTGTGCAATTTAGTAAGTAAAAATAAAAATAAATAATAAATAAATTAATATCAGAATATGTGTCACTCAAATGGTAAGAGTTTTCTTTCCCAAACCAATGTCTTGATTTTGAGGCGGCGGCGGCGGCGGGTGGAGGCAGAGGCGGAGGCGGGGCTGAGCGACGAGCGACGAGCTGCGACGCCGACGAGCTGTGTCCGACGAGCTCTGTTTCTCTCTCGCCTCTGCTCTGCTCTCTCTCGCCTGTGTTCAATGAAGAAGAAGAAGAAGAAAAGAAAGAAAGAAAAGGAAGAGAAAGAAGGAAAAAAAAAAAAAAAAGAATGGCAAAACGACGTCGTTTTGCCATTCGAGCCAAAATCGAGCCACAAATTTCGAGCTACCAGTCATTTTCCTAAAGCTTCGGACCCCAGTGGGGGTGCCGGGGGTCGGCTATGATTGGCCCAAAAAATTTTTTTTTTTTTTTTTTTTTGATTTTCGGCCATTACCAGCCCCCCACGCGGAGGTGGGGGTGCTGGGGGTGTCTCCTGCTGGGGGTCTCCAGCAGGACCGATAATATGGTCAGTCCCCTATTGATTGGAAAAAAGACAAAAGAAAAAGATAATTGATGAACCTTATGCTTGTACTTTTGTTTAAAAATTTTAATTTCAGCAATTAATATTTTTTATTATAAAAATTTAAATAAATTAAAATTATTTATAAAATTGTTGTTCATATTAAATGAAGGATAAATTGGAATAAGATATATTATTACGGGGAATTCATATTTTTGGGAACAATTTATAAAAATAAATAGGACTTAGGTGTCTATATTTAAATTTGATAGGACTCAATGGAATTCAAAGAAAAATCACACTTATTGGTAATTTTCTTAAAATCATACTTGTGATCCATCATTAAAAAAAAAAAAAAAAACCAATACTAATGAAATCATGTAACTGTGAATATTAGACCTGTTGTTTTTAATAGATGATTTAGACAGTTAGAGTGAGATTCATAGCAAACCCTTGCGAGAGCCCGACATCAACCTCATAAAAAAATAAATAAATAAACAATGACGCTATAAATGTTACAGAATGTTGATTTTAAATTTTTGATGTGTTATAGCTTCATCTTCTTTAGTAGTGTAAAAATGGCCCGCAGCCCGTGAACGGCCCGAAACCCACTCGCAGCCCGGGGTGGGCCCGGCCTGTTTAAGCTCGTTTGGTCCCAAGCCCGAGCCCAGCTCGAGCCCTAGGGTTTGACCCTGGGCCATCATTTTGAAACCCGGCCCGACCCATCTGACCTGCATGTGGCCCAGCCCATCAGCCCGCTTAAGGCCCACTCAAGGCCCGGCCCTAGGCCTAGTATCTTTTTTAGTGGAAAATAATACACTTTTGGTAAAAAAAATTAAAAAAAAAAAATGGTTAGGCCCGCTTAAGCTCAAGGCCAAGCCCAAGCCCGCCCAAGGCCCGAATACCCCTAGACTTGGGCCTGGCCTAATTTTTTGGCCCGTGGGCCAGCCCAAATTTTGGTTGGAGCCTGCGAGGTCCGACATGGGCTTGGTCGGGCTAGATTTACACCTCTAATCTTCTTCATGCTCATACAATTAATCATTTCCGCAGATGAACAACCACAACAACCATATCCTGTGCAATATTCATTCCAGTTTCTCTTCAATCAATTCCAGAAATGCAATTCTCATCACTTTCCTTTCCATGGTGTCTTTGCTCATCAAATTAACCATGGCCACTGCTGACAATGTGACCAGTATTAGAAACACTTTTTGCATTCAAACAAGGCCTCAAAGATCCTTCAAATAGGCTTTCTTCTTGGACAAGCAATCGTTGCTGCCAATGGAGTGGTGTTCAATGCAACAAGATATCTAGCTATGTCATCAAGCTTGATCTGAGAAACCCATTTCCATCTAGCAAGTTTGGGACTGCTTTAATAGATCAAGGTGAAACACATAGCATATGAAAGGTCATGTTTGGGTGGTGATACAAACTTTTCCTTGCTTGACTTGAAATATTTGCAGTATTTGGATCTAAGTTTAAATGATTTTAAAGGAACTCCAATTCTTGAATTCATCGGTATGCTTAAGAATTTGAGATACCTTAATCTCTCATCGGCATCATTCAGTGGAGAAATTCTACCTCAGCTTGGAAATCTATCAGACCTGAATCATCTTGATCTCTATTATGAAATTTATGGATTAAAAACCATAAACTTGCGGTGGGTTTCAGGTCTTTCTTCTTTGCATTACCTTAACATGAGAGGGGTAAAAATCGACATTGAAAAATATTGGTTGCAGAAAGTTAATATGCTTCATTCTCTTGTGGAGTTACATTTGCCACGGTGCGGTCTTCAGAGCCTTCCAATCTCGCTTTCATTCATCAACTTCACTTTTCTTTCAGTCCTTGATATCTCTATCAATTCATTTAACTCTTCAATTCCGCACTGGATGTTTAATCTTACAAGACTAAGAACACTTGATCTTAACTCGAACCATTTCCAAGGTACCCTTCCTAGTGAAATTGTTAATTTGATTTCTTTGGAATACCTTTATATGTCTGTAGTGGGAATTTTGAAGGTCAGATACCGAGATATTTGCGGAATCTTTGCAATTTAAAGTTCTTAGACCTTTTGGGAAACAATTTCAGTGGTTCCACGGAAGACATTTTTAGTGGATTCTTGGACTGTCCCAACAATAGCTTGGTTTCACTTGATTTAAATGGTAATTCGCTTGGTGGGGAATTGCCTAATTCGTTAGAAATACTCGAGAATTTGCAACAACTTGACCTCTATTTGAATTCTTTATGGGGTTCAATTGCAACTTCAATTGGACATATGTCGTCATTGCAATATTTGGACCTCGGATCCAATAATATGAATGGAATAATTCCCGAAAGTTTTGGAAAACTCTCAAGGCTCATTCAGTTGGATCTCAAAGGAAATCCATGGGAAGGCATCATAACAGAAGTTCATTTGATGAATCTCACAAGATTAGAAGATATAATAATCATACCACTAGAGACAAAAACGCCCTTGGTTTTCAATGTTAGATATGAATGGGTTCCCCCTTTTAGGCTCAAATCACTTTATCTAGAAAATTGCTTGGTTGGCCCCAGATTTTCTCTATGGCTTCAAGTTCAGAGTGTACTCACTGTCACCAAATCATATCAAAATACATAATCACATTATGTTAAGGACCAATTAACATATTACGGAACAGGGGTATTACACAGAGTGTACTCACTGTGGTAACCCTTAAAAATGTTGGAATTAAGGACAACTTACCTAAAGAATGGCTTTCCAAGATTTCTGCTCAGCTCACCTATTTGGATCTGTCTAACAACCAAATCAGAGAAAAGCTTCCAAAGAAGTTAGAATCTCCAATAATAGATGTTATTAACTAGAGCTATATACTTTGAGGGTCCACTGCCACTTTGGTCAACTAATACATCCTACTTTTATTTGCAGAGCAACTTGTTTTTAGGATCTATACCATCAAATATTGACGAACTAATGCTGCGACTGTGCAGTTTGTATCTCTCAGAGAACCTTTTGAATGGAACAATCCTGTCATCCATATGTACCATGAATAGCTTGCAAGTACTTTCCCTTAGGACAAACCAATTATTTGGGGAGCTCCCACAATGTTGGAATGGGTCAAAATACTTGTGGACCGTAGACGTGGCAAACAATAATCTCTCCGGTATTATTCCAAGTTCAATGGGGTTTATTAGTTCTCTCAATATGTTGATTTTGAACAATAACAACCTAGAGGGTGAAATTCCTTCTTCTTTGCAGAATTGTTCACTTCGGAGTATTGATCTCCGAGGAAATAGACTATTTGGAAAGTTACCCTTATGGATAGGGGAGACTATAACTGGATCTCGGATTCTACAGTTGCGATCAAACTCTTTTAGCGGAATCATCTCACAACAATGGTGCAATCTTCCACATCTTCACATCTTAGATCTTGCAAACAACAACATTTCAGGGGTTATTCCCAAATGTTTACCCAATTTAACTACATTGGTTTATGATAATGGTAGCTTTTCATTAGCAGACTACTACTACAATCATGAATACAGTAATGTGGAGTGAACAATTGTGGTAAAAAAAGGTAGAGAACTTGATTTTGGCAGTACTCTTCAATATGTCAATATCATTGATCTTTCTCGAAACAATCTAATTGGTGAAATCCATGAAGATATCACAAGCCTCATTGCATTAGGAGCCTTAAATTTTTTGTGGAATAAGTTAACAGGAAGCATCCCAAAGAAGATTGGAAACATTAGATCATTGGAAACACTTGATCTTTCAAACAACAATCTTTTGGGACCCATTCCACAAAGCATCTCATCTTTAACCTTTTTGAGTCACTTGAATCTATCTCACAATAACTTGTCAGGAAGAATCCCATCAGGAAACCAACTCCAAACACTCGATGGTTCATCTATTTATGCAGACAACCCTTTATTGTGTGGGTTTCTTCTTCCTACCAGGTGCCTGGGCGATGAAGATCATACATCTAATTCATGTACTTCTGGTGGAGGAGGCTTAGAAGACAATGGTGCTAAGAATGATAACGAAATGCTTTGGCTCTATGTTAGCATGGGATTTGGATTCCTTGTGGGACTTTGGGTGTTTGCTTCACTTTATGGATCAAAGTGTCATGGAGAAAAGCTTATTTTCAGTTTGTAGGAACAGTATAGTTATTGTTCATTTTCCTATGTTGGCTGTTGTGATAAAATTTTTAGGCTACATGTGATAGGTTTTTCTATATTTATTATTAAACTTGTTTATGTTGTCACCTAAGCTTTGTAAACATAGGCATAACTATTGTTTATTTTCCTATGTTAGCTGTTGTGATAAGGTTTGCAAAGTACATATGATTATCAGTAACGTTTGTTACTAAACTTGTTATGCTGTCAAGCTTTGTGAACAGAGGAGGTTCAAGTTTATTTGAAATTTAAGACAACAAAAGAAAGACTTTTTATAAATTTTTTTTATTGTAACTATATATTTAAATACACTTTTTTTTAGGACACAAAATTAGTAATTAAACTTCATTTTAAAGTTTTTGTTAACATATCATTTGCAAGGGCTAGAAAAACAATTTATATTTTTAGAATTGTTATTTTTTTTTGGCTTTTTTAAAAAAAAAAATTTATTTTATATATTGAAAGAGTGGGTAGAATATAATGACGACAGATGATAACTTCATGAATTACTATGCCAACTACCATGTCTAGACTGATATATTTGATTGACATATAAATTATTCAGGCATTGCCCAAAAACTAAACAAAATATTGGAAAACAATTTGGGTTGTGAGATCTATGATTTCCAATTACTATAATATTTTTGAAAACATTTTGGAGCAATGGCTTTTAATACGCATAATCATAATCTTTATGTTTTTCAAGTTTACAAAAAGAAAAAAAGAAAAGAAGAGAGGCAATAATTACTGCTTGCTTCGAAGTACTATGACAAATATGGTCAATTTGGCGCCTAAAAGGAAATTTTCAACTTGGACATTTTTTCTTCTTCAAATCTTTCAAAATTGGAAATAAAGCAAAAATCAATTTACATTATAGTCTGATAACATTTGTAAGAGGGGCTAATTTGAGCCCACTAAATTATTTAGGCCCAATAGCCCAAGATTAGTGGGCCCGAATTTATCGCAAGTCCAAGACTGGCGGGACCAGATTTATCACCATCAAACGGGCTAAATGGCTCTAAGCCTCGAAAGGGTTCGGATCCACGAACCTAGAGACTTACTCGGCCCCGGACTCGAAAGGGTATTAAGCAAGCCTAGAGATCCGAGGCACTCGGACTCGAAAGGGTTCGGATCCACGAACCTAGAGGCTTACTCGGGCCCGGACTTGAAAGGGTATTAAGCAAGCCTAGAGATCCGAGGCACTCGGACTCGAAAGGGTTCGGATCCACGAACCTAGAGGCTTACTCGGGCCCGGACTTGAAAGGGTATTAAGCAAGCCTAGAGATCCGAGGCACTCGGACTCGAAAGGGTTCGGATCCACGAACCTAGAGGCTTACTCGGGCCCGGACTTGAAAGGGTATTAAGCAAGCCTAGAGATCCGAGGCACTCGGACTCGAAAGGGTTCGGATCCACGAACCTAGAGGCTTACTCGGGCCCGGACTTGAAAGGGTATTAAGCAAGCCTAGAGATCCGAGGCACTCGGACTCGAAAGGGTTCGGATCCACGAACCTAGAGGCTTACTCGGGCCCGGACTTGAAAGGGTATTAAGCAAGCCTAGAGATCCGAGGCACTCGGACTCGAAAGGGTTCGGATCCACGAACCTAGAGGCTTACTCGGGCCCGGACTTGAAAGGGTATTAAGCAAGCCTAGAGATCCGAGGCACTCGGACTCGAAAGGGTTCGGATCCACGAACCTAGAGGCTTACTCGGGCCCGGACTTGAAAGGGTATTAAGCAAGCCTAGAGATCCGAGGCACTCGGACTCGAAAGGGTTCGGATCCACGAACCTAGAGGCTTACTCGGGCCCGGACTTGAAAGGGTATTAAGCAAGCCTAGAGATCCGAGGCACTCGGACTCGAAAGGGTTCGGATCCACGAACCTAGAGGCTTACTCGGGCCCGGACTTGAAAGGGTATTAAGCAAGCCTAGAGATCCGAGGCACTCGGACTCGAAAGGGTTCGGATCCACGAACCTAGAGACTTACTCGGGCCCGGACTCGAAAGGGTATTAAGCAAGCCTAGAGATCCGAGGCACTCGGACTCGAAAGGGTTCGGATCCACGAACCTAGAGACTTACTCGGGCCCGGACTCGAAAGGGTATTAAGCAAGCCTAGAGATCCGAGGCACTCGGACTCGAAAGGATTCGGACCCACGAATCTAGAGATCCGAAGTACTTGGCTTCGAACGGATTCAGACGCAATCTAGAAGTCGCTCCGTTAATGAGTCCCAAAACACTAATAAAAAAAATTGACTTATAAAAATTACCAAATGTTACCTCATAAATATATACTAAAAATTATCATTTTATCTTTTCATAATCTTATATTATTCTCAAATTTTAATTATCATTTAAAAAATAAGTCAATATTTCTTACGTTAATAATAAAATTTTTAAAAATAAATATAAAAGTGAGCTTGGAAGTAATCAAGTTACAATAAATTAAAATTAGATGATAGGGAATGAAAGAGGAAAAAAAAAAAAAAAAAAAAAAAAAAAAAAAAAAAAAAGAGGAAAAAGAAAAATTTTTTGAAAAGGAGTTGGGCCCCGGAATCCATGCAAGTAAAAAATAGGGAAAGGACGGTTTCCCGTTCCTTTACTCCGACTAAGGTCCCCCCCCCTCCTTCGCTGACATCAAAAATGGAACTCCACCGACCACAAGTTTGGAATTTTAGCTTCAGAGATTGGATCAAAGAATCATCTTCGGGGGGTGTCTGCTCAGGGTCGAAGGCATCAGGGCCGGTCACTTCCAGAGCAGCAACATGAACACATCCTCAAGGTGGGCCCCATCTCGTGCTGGCCAAGTATAAAGGTGTGTGTCTCCGGTGCTCCACCGAAGAGCCATGGCTTCCAGGCTAAGCATTGTTTGCGACGGATGGAATAGGGATCGAGATA